TGGTCAGTGGCTTAAAAGTCTTCTACAGACCTCAGCTGTTTCGGCAAGGTTTTTTTTCAATACTAGAATCTAGATCCAGGGCCATCACATTGAGCTACATCTCCACCCCCTTTTGAAACAGGGTTTTGCTAAGCTGCTGAGTTGCCTGGGCTAGGCATGAGCTTGCATTTCCCTGTCTCAGCCTTCTCCTCTGTTGTGTGCTGACACGTTATTATTCTTTTTTACAATTTTTCTAAAGCTACATAATCCCCCAAATAACCCATCCTCCTCCATCCTCTCAATTTACAGAGCTCATTATTGGAGCAGAGATCTAATAAAATGGTTTCTAATTTGTCACTCCACGTGCCAACAGCACTGGGAAACCTCAGCAGGAGAGCAAACTTGACACTAAAATAAAAGGAAAAACAATTACACTGGTAAAGAAAAATTTTAAAAAGTGATTACAAACAAGATAAAGCCAAAGTAGCCCAGACCAGGACTTGGCGAGGATACTAGAATAGGGCATGCCTTTCTTGGATGACTTTGGTTAAGAAGAGTGCAGTCTGTTGGACTTCCAGCTTCTCCAAATAGCTATGGAAATCAGTCACTCTTTCCCAGTTGTTCTCTCTCACTATCTCATTGTGATTTTTTAGTCTCGGTCACCTGTAATTCCTAAAATGAACATCTACCGTGGGTCAACATGTTGTGTGTGCTACAGAAGAGCTTGATTCTCTGAATGTGTGGAGAATTTGAGTACATCACTCATTCTAATATTTGCTTAGTTAATGAGCCAGGTCTCCTGATTTTCCAAAGGAAATGGGGAGGGGGATGTGACAAGAAAGCAATATAATCCATTTTTGACCTAGCACAAAGGTAACTTCTGCAGCTGATTCCAATTATGATCACTTCTTCTAAGTGATCGTACTTCTCATAAGTTTGTTCTACACTCCATCTCACACTAATTCCACATTCTTCCCAGGGGGACTTTCTGCTGTACTGCTCTTTTGAATAAAATAAACCAGAGGGGCAAAATTCCCGTTCATTTTTAGAATCCTAGCCATGCAGTTACAAAGTCAATTTTTGAGAATCTATCTGAAGTTGCTCTTTCAATACCTTTACCTCCTGTGTCCCAAACTGCCTTAGCCTACATACCGTCTGTTCTCTAGTTGTTAAAAGATCTGGCACTTACACAATCAAAAAGCCGTTTAATTTGTGTACCCTCATTTGTAAAGCAAGTTATGAAAACAAGAGGAGGGGGAGGGGAGAGTCCTTCAAGCACTTCCATTTTAAAGAACAGCAGAGGTGAAGCCCCAGGAGGGGGGACGGACTTATAAAGATGTGGAATTTCCTTCTGAGTAGTGAAAAGGAATTCATCAATTTAATTTATAACAATTAAGAGTTGCCTCTATGCAGAGTTTTTAAGCTCCAGCTGGCATGGGAATCATTTTCCTGAGGAATGCTCTGTACCCAAACACAAGGACACCTTCAGGAAGAGGAAAAAGAAGTACAGTCTAGGAACCTAGGATGTGAATCAGGAAATTCTTTTCCACTGCACTAATTTAAAAGAATAGCATGCCGGTGCCTAATAAATCCCACTAGCTATTCGGAGTTTCCTAGTGCTGCAAAGCTTCCCCTTACATGAGTGATTTGTTTTGCACAAAAACACCCATATTACTTTCCCAATAACCAAAATACCATTTCCTGAAAAGAGTTAGGGGTTCCAACTATAATTGTGAAACACGCACTGAGCCTTCAAAAGCAAACTTCAAACGCAAATGCAATACGAAAGGCTTCCGTCTCTCCAAAGCTGGTTCCTATTTATCCTTCCACTTCTCTGGAATGAACTCCTTGCTCTATGACATGCATTATCCATTTCCCATCCCTATGCTTTCATTTACTCTGAAAGTAGTGCTTTTCTTCTGCTCCATCCGTCCAAAGGGTACCTCCACTTCGAGGTAGTCCAGGATGGCTGGCTACCTTTCCACACCCCAACTGGAAGTGATTTCTTGTTTCTGCAAAATTCTGAAGTATGTAATACACATCTCTTGAGGCATATACAGTTTTCTACTTTGGGCATCCTGTGAGAAGGGCCTTTTGGTACCTAGCACAGGGCCACACGTGTTGGGGGCTCCTTTCACACTAAGGGCATCAACAAACCGGTGTGACCCTTTAAATTAAGACACCTGACTGCAACTGGGATGGGATACAGACTGATAACCCAGTTACTTGGGAGGCTGATACAGAAGGATGGCAAGGACAGGAGGATTGAAGCCTGTCTGGGGTCTTGGTAACATAGAAAGACTCTGTTTTGAAATAAAAAATAAAAAGAGGTCTGTGGATGTAGCTTTGTGTGAGGTCCTGGGTTCAACTCCTAATACTGCAAATCATAATATAAATAATAATAATTGATCCCAGGTCAAAATTTACACTTTCACCCTGAAGCACCTGTTTAACAAATTCAGTTCAAAGATCAACAGTCTATACAAGAAAATCAGCTTAGGAAAAATTATCAAAAACTCAGAAAGGCAACGAGAAGACTATGTCCCTTCAAAGGGTATGTATAACTTATATGGTATATGTTCCTTGGAGCCAGCCTTAGTTAGGGATAGAACCCAGGGCCTCACACTGAACTGCACCTCTAGCCTCTCCAGCTTTTGGACAAGCATGTGATATTTCTCATTCTTTTCACTCTGTTATGCATTTATTAGCACTGCACCTGCCTACAGTATCCTCTTTTGAGCAGGCTTTATCATTGTGTTTTTCCTTCATTAATAAATTAAATAAATTTCTGACATGGATTCATTTGATTATGACATGAAAAGTGCATGTACAAAATTTTTAAAATTATTCTTCAAGAATATTAGTAATTAGGAATAAGGAAATAAATGTAAAAATAGGTACTACTACTATCATTTTTCAACTTATGAGTAATTTTATTTAACCTTCATCTAGAAGAAATTTTCCAAGTTCGTAATTTATTCACCCACAAACATTTGTTTCCATTCCAAAGAATTTATACAAAGCAAGAGGGAAAGGAATAAATATTCTTTATTCCTTGTCTAAGGTAATTTTAATGCCATGTATGTGTCTATTTGCAAGTCTGCTGCAATCGATTCAGTAATAGTGTTATTTTAAAAGCCTGTATCTCAACTAAAATACTATCTGATCTCCTGAAATAAAAATAGGTTCCTTGTCAATTTCTCGAATTTATCTCTCATCTAAAATTGCTGAACATGATAGGATGTAATTTTACATCATGCTAAAATGAGTAGCATTTTGTAAATTCAAGTCATACTAATATTGCATTAGGAACAAGGCATTTGTTCTGAAATCACTACCAGCCATAATGGAAACCAGACACTAATGCTTTAAGAAGTAACTCACTGAAATTGAATGAAATAATCACCCAGTCCATAAAGCACTTATAAGATTTTCCATAAAGCACAGGTAATTTTTTAGCCAAAGAGAAATAATTCTTTCTTATTATCCAAAACATCAAATGCCATCACATCATAAAAATAAAATATAGAACATGGATTATTTTATTTTGTTCATCCATTTGTTCATATAATACATATTCACTTTACAATAGTGAAACATTATGCTTCTTCATTATCAGTTTTACTGTTATTTAACCAACAAGGCTCAGTGTTTTCCCGGGGAGGTCATTGCACAGGTGAATTCAGTGCGGGCAGAAGGCTGGAGAGGACTCAGTTCTGCTATTATTGCTCCTGCTGCCCACACCCCAGCGACTCCATCCAACGTGAAGCAAGAAAGACTGGTTCTGCCTTGATCACATAGTTCTTAAAGTGAAGGGAACTATGGCATGAATCAGTGGGCTTGCTGCATGATCAGATCTGGTCTCGTGCCTCCACATTGCTCTCAACTGACCCCCATGCTTTCCTTTTTTTTTTTTTTTTTGTACTGGGACTTGAACTCAGGACCTTGTGCTTGCCAGGCAGGCACTGTGCTGCTGAGCTAGATCCCTGCCCACGCCCGCTTGCTTTCCTTCTGTCTGTTCCTCCTCACCTATGATACTGCACTTCTCAGCACTCAAATGATAAACAGCTGGGGTGGGTAGCTCAGATAGCAGAGAAAAGCACCTCTACTCCTACCCCTGGGCCACTATGGCAGAAAAGTACAAACAATTTGGAGTTTGGAAAAGTTGACAATGGCTGGGGATATAGCTCAGTGGCATAAGCTCCTGCCTGGCAAACACAAGGTCCTGAGTTCGATTCCCAGTACCAAAAAAAAGAAAAAAGAAAAAGTTGCCAAGTCATGATCAGTTTTAACTTTCCAATCACCAAGATAGCACTTGTAAGTAAAAGTACAAACTTTAAGAATAGAAAGTGTTTGAAGCTTTCTATCAAGTTGAAAGTGGAATCAGAATGGGGTGAATGAGCCTTCATCTTTATAAGAAAAAGGAAATTTGGACACAAACAAGACAGACATGGGGAGAATGGCATGTGACAGCAGAGGTGAAGATTCGAGTGCTGCAGCTATAAGCCAAGGAACACCAAGAACTGCCTCCAGCCACAAGAAGATGGGAAAAGGCAGGAAGGATCCACCTCTACAGCCTTCAGACAGAGCCCCGCCCCTGACACCTGGGCATTGCACGTCTGGCATCCAGAAATGTGAGAAAATAAATTTCTGTTGTTTTATGCTGTTCAAATTTGTGCTAATTTGTTACAGCAGCCCGAGTGAACTAACAGAGCACCTTACAAACAGTGCTTTTTTGGCTGTTCTTCATGAGGCTGATTAAAACCTACAGTATTAGGAATGGTATATAATATTGGGTCCAGGGACAGCAGTCAAGGCAGGGGGTGGGGTGGCCCCGGATGGGGCAAGATTCTCTGAGGTGCTAATTGTTTCCAATTTCAAACAACTAATATGTTTTGTTTGTTCAAAAGATTTAATTTCAAGAGAGTTCTGTTTTAAAATTAGAAAGTATGAGTATATAAAAATCATGAACTAGCATTTTCCGCATGAAGTGTACCGGACAGAGACAGAGAGATACTCACTTCAACATGCTGACAGGTTTGGATGAGCTTAGCCAAAAGGGTCTCCAGTTCCGTGTTCCTCTTAATAAGGTTGGTGAGGTTACTCTCTAAATTTTGCTGTTCAAAAAAGACAGGAAACATGTTATTCTCTATGCTTTTCTACTTTAGTACACACAACATTACTCATATCAGGAAAAATAGATGCACTTTTCGATACTTCAATGAAATCAATGCAATTTCAAATATATTTAGATTTAAACTAGAATTTCTTTTATTTATTTATTTATTTTGGTACTGGGAATTGAACTCAGGACTTTGTGCTTGCCACGCAAGCATTGCATTGCTGAGCTATCTCCCCATCCTTAAATTAGAATTTCAAAAGTTACCTTCAAAGAAAATTTTAGAAATATTCAAATTACATTTTTTTGCTCCTGCTTTTTGCACTAACTTACCTATATTTAACTGAATATTAGCTATCAATTATCGTTAGGTCATGAGGTAGGGAGAAAGCTAGTAATTGGATTTTTATTCCTTTACCTGAATCAAAAATAGCAATAATATAAGGAATATAATCCTACATCAAATCACCAACTATTAGACTTGCAGGATTTACCATTTAATGGTCAGGTGAGGTTAATCTTGGAAGAAAGTTTGAATTGAGCAGATACTTTTGACAATATGGCCATTTATAGGCATTTATAAGAAGTCTTTGTCATACACATTTACTCAGTCATAGTACATTCTTTGTCTATCAGTGCTAGATCCAATTTCCCTGTACACTGTATTTATATCACTATCCTGCTTAAGACTAGAGAATTAGTCCCTATTCCGTTAAAGCATCAAATTTAAAGTTCCCTGAATGAATGTTGAATCATATTTTCAGACACAACAAACTTTTGTTCTAGGTAAAACTCATTAAATTTGTCCACTCCTCCATTTCACATGCTCTTCATGTATACGATCCATCCATCCACACTTCCATACATACATACATACATTTATCTGTTTCTACATGTACTTATTAAGCTTTTAGAATACATCAAACTCTGCAAGAGACACTGGAGAAGTAAAAGTAAAATATATCTATTGTTCACAGGGAGATGGCTGTGCAATGGGAGAGAGATACTGTAAAGAGGGAAGCAGGGAGTTGATAGCTGCCTGGAGAAGGTTTCTAAGAAGACAGAGTCCTTTAGTTGAGGCTGGAAGGAGGGTCAGTGTGTTTTTGTTGGGCAAGAATGGGAACTTCTTGGGAAGATGAAACGGCAGAAACAAGACTGAAGAAGAGTTCTCCGTGGGCAGGGACTAGATCAGTGTCATGGTAATATCAGGGAAGTATGAGAGGCCAAAGGGCTAAGGAAACTATGTGTTTTGCAATGTAGACAGTTTCCCAAATATAGCAAAGATATGGAACAGTGGGAAATTTCATGAAAAAGACAATAGAGTTCAAATTTATGATGCCATCCAAGAAAGGAGATTTGGGCGGCTGGGTGCTCTGTGGTACAGCACTTGTCCAGCATGCAAAAAGCCATGATTCCATCTTGCAGTTGCAAAACAGAAAACAGAAATGACAAAGAAATTTGGGAGAGATTTTGAAAAATAACAAGTTCTGAAAGGTGATAACAGTTCATTATGTTGTAGCATTTAGAAAAAGTTTAGCTTGTTTGACTTTTCTAGCTGTTTTTAATTAGAAAGACATATTAAGGGAAAGAATTATTTTTTACCTGATTCTTAAAATGAATGTACCAGAAGCAGAAATCTCAGGTTATTCTTAAACAGGTTAATCTGGCATTTATTCTGTTGCCTGCACTTTCTTTCAATGAGTGCATTTGCACTCCCAGGAGATTCTTTATCACATTTCCCTTTTCTTGGTGAACTGCTTTCTGTGCTTTCTAAAGAGGCAAGTCCCTTCTCCATAATTTCGAGGGAGATTAATGTCCATATTCTTAAGCTATTTTGAGAAAGGGCAATTCCATGTCTCCCTGTGTTTGCTTAATGTTTTGCAAGGATCAAATTTCATTTTGTGTCTTGTCAGTTTTGTGTCGCAGTTCATCTGACATGACTTCTGTTCCCTGTGCTGTAATTTGGGGATTGATATAGCCCAGCCAGGTGAGATGCACACTGCAAGGTTAGGACTTAGGCTTCTTTCCCCAAAGAGAGCACTCCCACGAGACCCCCCATGTGCAACTGAAGCACAGATCCTGATTTGGCTCAGGGCCCCTGTTTCCTTCCATGAGAGCGCTGTATCTGGCTTCAAGACCAGGACAGGTGTGAGGTGTCTTTTGAGCCCATTGTGTGGACGGCGGAATCTTTGCCTCCTGCCACATGGGGCTTCTGTGGCAGGCAGTGATCCTCATGTCCCCAGGGCGCCATCTCATCTCCACTTCTTGGGAGCAGCTGTGCTTCAGGCCCCCTCACCGTTCTAAACTTTCTTTCATTTCTGATCTTTGGGGCTTTTTCACTATTTTTAAGCTTGGTTGTGTATTCTTTAAAATAGTCTACGTAGAATTCTAATTTGTTCATATTGCAGAGACAGACTGCACCTATTTCATCCAGACTGGAATACGAACAAGAAATCTTCAATTTTGTTTTTGAAACACTCAAAGCATTTCAAATATGACTATTTCAAAGAAGAAAAAAAATACTGTTCCTCACTTTAAGATGGGATACAAGGAAAGGCCAGAAAGTCATACAATGAGCCACACAGAATGTCATACAATGAGCCACACAGAAAGTCATACAGTGAGCCACACAGAATGATTTTAAGTGCCACCTAATGATGCTGTGCTTGCATCAAAGAAAAAATTGCTTTCAGACCTTTTGACAACTCTGCTGCTCCCCTGGGGGAAAAGAAGCCAAAAGGTTTTCTACTGTTTAGATTGAACAAACTAGGCCGGGCATGGTGGCAAACGCCTGTAATCCCAGCACTTGGGAGGCTGAGGCAGGAGGATCTTTGCGAGTTAGAGGCCAGCCTGGGCTACAACGTGAGCTCAAGGCCAGCCTGAAGTGCACAGCAAGACCCTGTCTCAAAAAGACAAGAAAAATGTACAAATTAAATGAACTGCAGTTGGTAAGTACTTTGTGGTCAGAGACTAGAGAATAATTCTGAGGGATTCCATTAGTCAGTGTCCTTGATTTAGATTCGACTATTGTATGATATATTAGTCAGCTTCTTCTGCTGTGTTAATCTTAGGGAATCCTTTTACTTTTCTTCTTGGCTGACCCTTCACAGCAGGAAATTTGTAGGGAAATACATCATCTAAGTGTTTACAGTTCAATTGTCATAGGTATGACTTCTCTAAAGCTAGTCAGTATCAGAGCCAAATAAATGCACTCCAACACATTTAGATTTTACAAACATCGGTTACTTTCCCTCCTTTTATTAAGTATACATCATGTGTAAAATCTGTTTTTAATCAATTAATACATAGACTAAAGCCTGTGGTTTAAACACTTTGACCTATCCAGATCCTTTGGGGTTCTCCAAATTTAAATGGTACAAGTGTTAGTGAAGTCCGTAAAGAATTACTGAGTCAGTTAGAAATACAATAAAGGGAAATTAAGCTCAGAGAGAGACACTAGTACCAAAGGAGCTGAAAACACTTGGGACGAGCATCTGGGTAATGGGAAGGTAACGCAATCCAGACTTCAATAAGCCAGGCATCCACACACTCCCACTACAGGCACTTCTCTGGAGGTTTTTATGGAATTTCACTCTATCATTAACATCCTGTGTGGTGGACAGCAGGGTCTATTACCTCTTGATTTTGACTGTGCATTGTACAAAAGAGAGAGAACTTTTTGGGGTAAAAACCGTGCGATTAAGTCAATATAAAAAATTCTACAGCATGCAAAAACATTTGTTTTAATTTCTCCTTGTCACCTTCAAAAACTGAAAATGTTTACATCTCCATACCAGGTCAAGCTTTGTGGAAACCTAAGGAGTGAGGCATGAGTGATCTCATACAAGCAAGGAAACCAAGGCAACTGTCCCAACTGAACTCTCTGGGGCAAATGACTATGGACACGTCTTGGGCTCAGTTCTTCTATCCATAATGAGAGGATAATGGTCAGTCACCAACCTATGCTACTGTTAAGCACCTATGAGAAAATAAACACATACACTGGGAAACTACAAGAATGTTTGTTAAAATTGTAGATTTGAGGATAACACGTTCAGTTTGTTTTCAGTGCTAGAAACTGCAAGGGCAGACATCATTCTGTTTGCTGATGACTTTTTCTTGCAACGCCCTGAGCCTTTCTGCCCCAGGCTCCAGGCAGGCAGGTAGGGCGCAGTGCTAGGGAGTCTGAGGGATGGTTGACGCCCCTAGGAGACGTCCTCCACTGGAAACTATTGGCAACCAAGGGATGAACAGCCCAGCTTCTTTACCTGGGTGGGACCATTCTGACACTGGATATATAAAATCCTCCCCAGGGCCCCATTGGGAGGGAGAATGTGAATCCACAGCAAAAACACTCTCATTAATATGCCCTCTTTCTGCTTCCTTCCCTTCCCTGTTTCCTATCCCTTCCAGGTGCTTCCTGGTTCACCTACCAATTCAAATTCTCAGTCAGAGTCTGCTTCTACAGGAACCCATCTAAGACTGTTTCCATAGACAACCGAATGCATACTTCTGGAAACTTCCCTCTTATAAGGAATAGTTACATTTAAATTTTTTGTTGTTTTAGAAAGATATTTTCAAATACAGGAGAGAGATCATTTCCTCCCTTCCCTCATTTCCCCTCTGTGATTTTTTCTACAGGTCACAGAACCTCCCAATTCCAGGCTCCAGAGCAATAACAACAACAACAATGTGACTGAGTCACAAATTCAAGTCACGTGTTAAATTTTCCAGTACTCACATTCTAAAAAGTAGAAATAAGCAAAACAAATTTTAATTAATATCATTTCGATGTATAACATAGTCGTACTTCTGTTCACGAATGCTCCTCTTTGCAAACAACTCAGTTCACAAACAAAAGTGTTCGGCAAAATTTTGCTATGGTTCAGGAACTCCATATCGGGCGAGGGACACAATGACGGCCTCCTTCCCCACACAGGAACATAGCCATCTTCCCCCAAATCGTGGAATGAATTAAGTCCATGAACCAAGGTACCA